CTCGTCCCACTGGGTGGACGACTCCTCCTCCAAACCCTACTAAAGGGTGGGATGCCGGATGTATGCAATCAGTATGATATTTTAGTTTTTACAGACATTTGCTACTGATAAGATCTGAGGAGCTTCCAGTATCTATAAGGATTCGGCCAACTCTCTGGTTGGCCACTTTACATTCAATAACGATAGGGTCGTCATGCGGCCCCCTTACCCCTCTGAGATCTTCTTCAGTGATGACAATCTTAGGAAATGAATATTTGGAGGGCCGTTCTTGGTGAACGGAATTTACATCTAGCCGCCTTATATTGTTTTTGTTGCCCCTAATAGTGGGACCGCCTCCTGCGAAGCCGCCTGCAATGGTGTAGACGACTGCATCATCTGTATCAGAGCTGTCGGCCTGTTGACTCTTTTTGGCCGACTGCTTTTTCGAGGAAGTGTTCCCCGTAGATTTCTTGACATAAGAGTCAAGGTCGCCTTGCTCAGCCAGGCGGTCCAGATACCGCATGAGACTGATGCATTCGTTGGTGTGATGACCAACATCTTCATGATAATCACAGAATTTTTCTTGGTTCCGGTTGCTTGCAGAACCCTTCATGGGACCGGCTTCTCAATTGAGATCCGTCCCTTGATTTCCTTTAGGATAGCTTGGCTATCCTTGTTAAACGCATACTTTTGGGAGTATGGTTTGAATTCTTTTTTCTTCTTCTGGGCCGGCTGTTTAGAGGAATCAGCCGCCCAGACCTCTTTTCTTTTCTTCTCATCTTTGTTCGACAACTGTTTCTGTCGTCCTTCTTTTTTGTCGAACTTTTTCCCGTCCGACTGTTTTGTACTACAAAGATCAGTCGCCTGTATATAGGCTTCCGCTTCAATCAAGGCCTCTTGAAGAGTCGCCACCCTCTTTCGGACCAAATCAAATTTGAATGTCGATCCGTCTTTTAGGCCTCTGAAAAAGTCAGTATAGGCTACCTCATCCGGTAACCCTTGAATCTGTATTCTCATCAGGTTAAACCGCCTGATGTAAGAACGAAGCCCCTCCTTCTCGCCCTGCTGAATCGTTCCTAAATCAAGGGTCGTCTTTTTCGCAGGTATGTTCATGGCAAAGTTGGAGGTGAATAAGTAAGCAAGCGTCCTGAAGTTATTCACACAACCAGTCGGCAGGTTGCCGAACCATTGTTGTGCGATTCCTTTGAGAGTCGCTGGGAAACACTTGCACCAAGTGGGATCATCCAACCCTTGAAGGTACATCAGGTTGGTGAATGCCATCAAATGGTCTTCTGGGTTAGTAGTGCCGTCATAAGCGCCTACTAATACATTTTTCACTTTGGCCGGCTGAGCGGCTTCGGCAATTTCCTTGGAGAAGGCCGACGGTTGTTCCCCAAGTCTAAACAACCGTAGCTGCCAGTCCATAGGTTGGACATTCTTTGCTGCATGCCCACCAAACAGAGGTGGCTGCAAAAAATATTGTTGTTGCGGTACAAATGGTAAGTTTGGTACCGCCTGGTCACTATGAAAGCCGGACTGACGGGAGGTGCCGCCTGACTGACTCTCATGATACGACTGAGTATACTTCATCGAGGTATTGCGTAGACTGTCTTGGAAGTCTGAAGTAGAGGCCGACTTTGACAATCGGTCATTCTTTTTCTATTCTAGCAATAGCCGAGCATCTGTGTATGTTTTCTTCGACCCGTCCGCCTGAATATGACGAACAGGTTTCCTCTTTCCTGGAGTAGGAAAGCGGTACTTTGTGAAATCAAGGGCAGGCGGCTCCCACTTCCTAGAGTTAGGATGAGGGGTCGCCTCTCGCCCTTGAACTGGCTTCCTCTTCCCTGAAGTGGAAGGTTTCTTAGCCGACTGCTCCTTGGCCAGAGTAGGCTTCTTGTTGAGCAACTCTTGAATCTCTCCCTTGAAGCCCCTCATGAAGGTCATGAGTTCGTTTCTTGTAATGGGAGCAGACCCATCAGCCGGCTGCTGCTGAACAGGCGGTGCGCCGGCTGGATCACTGAGTCCAGTTTCAAGATGTTCTCGTTCCCTCCTTTCGGTATGACGGGTGCGTCGGGCCCTTAGGGTCCCGACTGAAGCTGTGTGAGCTTCAACTTCAAATTCTTCCTCAGTATCATGGTCCGACTGAACTTGAGGGTCGTCTAGGGGACGCCTCTCTTCAGGAGTTGGTACAGACGTGGATGCCATCTCAGAAGTACTCTCCCCACAGACGGCGCCAAGATGTTTCGGGGTTTTCAGATGTCCTGCGGGAGAGTTACAATTCCGAGACTGGAACCGGACGCCTGTACCTGCAAAACAAACGGATGCTCCGTATGATTGGAGATCCGCCTCCGACAGTCAAGTTAGTACTTGATTAAGGAGTAATTAATGCGGAAATAAAAGTGATTGGGTCTCTCTAGGTGAGAGTGTTAAATGTGCGTAATCCCCCTTAATGAGGATTAAGGGAGGTATTTATGACCTTGGGAAACGTGCCAATCCTAGGTTTAGGTTAACCTAGGGCTGATTGGGCTTCCCTTGGAAGTTGGGCCTAGGTGGCCGGTTTCTCCATTAGGCATGGAGGATGCCACGTGTCATGACATAATAGGTCCAAGGTGGACGAATAGGCGTGTGCCACGTGGCGAACCCTGACAGTTCCAATTGGGGGACACTTGGCAGGACCTGATTGGCCCACGTGGCGCATTCCGATTGGTGGGAGCAAAATCCCCTAATCACTAACCATAAACATTAAACTCCCAAATTTTAGGGTTGTAAATTGGGGTTTTTGATTGAATAAAAATCTGAAAATTACATAAATAATTTAACAACCAAATACCCAAAATCAATACTAAAACATAATTAAAATCATGCTTTAAATTAATGAAAACAATAGAATTAAATTAGGAAGAGAAAAAGGAGAGAGAAGGAGGGGATGGCTGGCGGTGCGTCAACTACTGTTGCTGGCGCCGGTGGCTGCTGGCGTGCGTGAGAGGGAAGAGGAGAAAGAGGCGTGGGAGAAGAAAGAAAAAGAAGAGAAAAAAAAAGGAAAAATAAGGAGAAAAAAGAGAGGGAAAATAAAGAGAAAACTTTTGGGATTTTTGTGAAATGTGACAATAATGATTTTAGAGTGAAACTTTTTGAGGTTTCGAAGTATTTATATTCTCATTTTAAAACAAAAACTCATAATTACAAAACTGTCATTACTAAATCCTACTCCACCTTGATTTTTTCTTTTGGGCCAACTTGTTGGGCTCTTAAGTGTCCTTAATTTCCCAACATGTTGATCCAATCATTTAAATAAAGATGACCCAATTCAAAACACTTTTATTGCCTCAATTAATGACTCATATTATTTTATACACACTTACATAATATTTAAATAATTAATTTCTTTTAAAATGAAATGAATCATTTTAATTTATAAAAATAAAAATAAAAAAATAATTTATATATAAAAATCTTATAAAAAAATGGAGTATTACAGTTTGAGTGTTAAGTCTTCTGTGCGGAGGTGCCGACTCACGTTTCTTCTATTATTGTTCCGCGCTCCGGCGAGTGGGACACTTCTAAGATTCATCGGCTCTTTGATAGTCAGTCGGCTCAATGCATTCTGGCACTTGAAAGACCACATCGAGCCATGGATGATTTTGTATACTAAAAGTTCTCTAAGGATGGTCGCTTTTCCACTAAATCGACCTACTCTTTGTTAGTCCGACAATCTGTCGTTTCGATTGTCAGCACTCCAGCTCCTGATCTGTGGTGGAATGTTTCTATGGTCTTCCTCTTCTTCCTCGAGTTAAGATGTTTTGCTAGAAGTTACTTTATGATGCTTTACCCTTACTGGAAACTTTATTTTCCAAGGGTCTTCCGGTTAATCCAGTGTGTATTTTCTATCACACCAACCTCGAGACGACCTCTCATCTTTTCCGCGACTGTCCCTTTATTCGTCCTCTTTGGACTTCAACCCTTTTGTCTCTAGATGGTAGGTTGCTGGTATCTACTCCATTTCATGACTAGGTTGTGGCTGTGGTTTCGTTTTATAGGCGGTCCAAGGATTTCGTTGGTATGGTATCTTTCGTCTCCTTCCTCTGAGCTATTTGGCTTACGCGGAATCACTATATTTTCCGGAAAGCAATGTGGTCTCCTTCTTTGATTTATCAACTTTCTCAGGAATGGACCACTCGGGCGGTTCAAGCTCAGGATTTTCAACATCATCTTTTATCTTTGGAAAGGCGTTCTCCTACTCCGTGTCAGGAGTTGGTGCCTTTGTGTCTGCAGGGGGTGCCTCATATCGTCTCCATCATTGGCTGATTTTTTACGGTGGTTGGCTTTGCCAAGATAATCGTGCAGGCGCCGGTTGGGTTTTCCGAGAGATTTCGTCGGATATTGTTCTAAGAAGTGGTGCGCGGGCTTGTCGCGTTGCTATTGCTCTTCAGGCAGAATTACAAGCTTGTTTGTTGGCCCTTCAAACTGCTGTTCGTCAGGATTTTTTTTCGTCTTCTCATCTATATGGACTGCGCTCCTCTGATCTCCACGTTTCAGCACCCTAGCTCCACTACTATATCCTGTTTGTGGCTGTTTAAGGAGATTCTCCCCGTTTTTCTGTCTGTCGGCTTTGTAAGGTGCCTCGAAATTGGGTTGCTCCTACACATTGGTTGACTGTTCGTGCTCGTGACCGCCATTTCCTATGCTGGTCTTTTTAGTTAGTGATTGTTGTTTTGTTCGTTTTTTTGTTAATGATCTTTGTAAAAAAAAAATAAATAAATAAATAAATAAATAAAACTGTTACCTGCCTATAGAACTCCAAGAGGAATTGATACTATACAAAGAGGTATAATTTTCATTTTAAATCATTATAAAATCCAACCAGTCCTAAAGAATTTATATAATTAGGCGATCGTATAAAGACTAGACCTATTTATTTATTAGACTGAACTGGGGCAGGCTACTCGTTGAATTGCTCTCTCTCTCTGAGTTCTCCATTGAAGCGCACTCAACATCGCACTTGACGTTCTCCACTACAAACCATGAAGTATTTGTTCTCAGCAGCTTCTGAGGTAAGTTGTTTCTTTTAGTAATCTTCATATCAATTTCACAATCCAGGGTTCAATTTTATTTAATTGTCAGTGCAGTAAGTGTAGGGTTCGCAAGTCTGAACTATTGGTACTAAATTATGTTGTTAGAAAAGAAAATTATGTGATTTTTGGGCATTGTTTGATAATTGAATCAAATTTGGTTGCTAATGTATTGCACAACCCTTTAATGTTAGACCTCTTCTTGTTTGATAATTTGTTTGTGTGTGAGGCTAAGAGAGGACATCTGTCGTGTTGTGTGTTTGATTAAACTTGATTTTGTTGAACTCATGTTTTAATTAAGCTAGTTTACGCTCCTGGTCACGAGGAGGAATGAAGCGAATGAGGAAGGGCTAATGGGATTAACCTGTTGTTTCGTTTGCCCCTTTGTTTTATACTACTCCATAGTACAGATGGCTCTGGGCCGTGTCGGGTCGTGCCAGGCCTACGTGCTTTGGGCTTAGTTAGGCCCGGCCCATGGCTTGGCCCACGAGTTTTGTGTCGTGCCGTGCATGGGCTAAGAGGGGTATGATGGTAAAGAACCAAAAATGAAATCAAGTAATTTGTGTAGAACATAAACGCAAAGTGATTAAAACAAGAAAAAGAAAAGATTTAGTAAAATACTAAAACATTTCCATTTAAATTGGGTAGCTCAATTGCACTCCATTATTGAGGTAATTCCATGTGTGTTTGTTTGATACTATTCATCCACTTTGAGGTCAAAAAGTTTATCTTAAGATTTGTTAACTATATTTTTTGCTTTTGCAAGATCACCAAATTTGTTGTTAAAGTTTAAAAAATCTGGCCACAGTAAGTCCACCTATAACTTTTGATGTTACTTTTTCCAAATGGGTCATGCCATAATAATTCTGATTCTGAATGTAAGATACTTGATGTGCCCCATCCACGTTTTTGAGGCTATTTCTGTAATAGAATTTTGGTTTGAAGATCTTGTTTCTCTGTGTACTTATTGTATCACTTTTGAATTTTATGCAGGGAATTTGAAGTGGACTTCATTCTTCTTGCTGGATATTTAAAGCTTATACCAGTTGAATTGGTTCAACATTTTCCTAAGTGTATACTAAATATACATCCTTCACTTCTACCAGCATTTGGAGGCAAAGGCTATTATGGGCTCAAGGTTCATAAAGCAGTTATTGCTTCTGGAGCAAGGTAATATTGCTATTAGGAATTATATTGTAGGTTACTCGTGATTTTTAGTATTTATATTGCAAAAAGTGTAGAATTTAGATTGCATTTGTTGGTTTTTGGCACGTTTAAATCACACATTAGATCATCGTGAAAGAATGAGGAATCTGATCAATTGTTTTCAAGACAGCTGCCTGTACTGCTGTACACTTTAAATTTCGATGCCAATGCTGTTTTTTTGGGTGGGTGCTTAAATATATCAAAAGCTGATGTGAATGGTTCTTTTACTAAAATTTAGATGTGTGATGTGAAATGGTTGTGTCAAAGACAATATCTTTTGTCCCTTGATTTCTACTTTAAATTTGCCCTTGATTATGTTGGTTCACAATATGTCAATACATAACCCAGATATGTGGCAATAGTGAATCATCGTGGCTTGATTAGCCAATTGTTTTTAGCATAGCTCTAAATGGAAGTGCAAGTGTCTATTTATTTTAGGAGTTTGACTCTAAGCTAACAATACTCTTCTTGAATACTCTTTTCTTGTCCAGATACTCTGGTCCTACTATCCATTTTGTTGACAAGGAATATGATACTGGCCGGATCCTTGCCCAGCGAGTCGTGCCTGTGTGTGCTTTTGACACTCCAGAGGAGTTGGCAGCTCGGGTTCTGCATGAGGTAATGTTAACTCGAGGGGCTTTGTTAAAAAATTAGTCTGCAAGAAGGGTAATAATGCAAAATTACGAGTGTCATTATATCCAAATTACCAAAGTTAGCGTCTACAGCTATGAACCTGCGTGGTCGATTTTCAAGAGTCTTGATTTCATCAGAAAATTATGTACTGCTCAAATAAACCTGTTTTATATCTTATGCAAAATCCTTTATTTTTTATCTTTTACAGGAGCATCAGTTATATGTAGACGTAGTTGCAGCATTATGTGAAGACCGGATAATTTGGAAGAATGATGGTGTTCCGCTTATCCATAGTAAAGAAGATCCGCAGCAATACTAGGTTAGCTTTGGCTGGTAGGAGATCAACCTCAGGGCAGATCACATATTGCTCTATAAAAAAGAGCCTTAATTTTTTTTGGACACATTCAGAGTCTGACAAATTTTGGCACTAGATTTGGTATTGGTGCCCTTCTATATCAGGATAGAGCTTCTAGGATTCGATCAAGAAATTTCTATTTCTGACCATTTGAGAATTGTACCAATAATGAATGATACACTTGTATCATCTATAATTAATGTAGAAGTTGTAATTCCAATCTCTTTTGGGATATATTGGAACGAGGAATGTCGATACACTGACCATGTTGGAGATAGCTATTGCACATTGTAAGATTCCGATAATGATAAATTAGCAGCTGAGTTTTGGTTTTACTTGCTATATAATGGCAAATGGCAAATACGAGGTACATTTTTTCTACAAATGTATTACTTATCACATCTGCTACTTAACTATTGTGGCAAATATGAAGCAGCTCAACACTTTCCTCTAAAAAACTACTCGTACTTTATATTATTTGTATACTCCAGATAATATCTCTTTCACCACAAAGATCCACAACCAAAGTACTAATAGTTAGTTTCAGTTTGTACATTACAACAATACCCTTACGCTACCCTTAGCTGGGCAAAATTACCCATGTTGATTAATTAATAGTAATGAACTGCATGTAAAACTTCTGATACACTGTATAGAAAGCCTGGGTTACTAGTAATAGACTAATAGTATAGCAACAAAACATCAAACCTACTATTCGGACATCAAGGGTGATTCTCTTTGGGTTGGACTAACACTACCTCCTCGACTAATCTTGAGTGCTCTTATTGTTTTCTGTATTTCCATTGTCATATCACTGTCTACACTATATGATGACAGTTTCTTATGTGATTTTTGCAAATGAAGTTCTAGTGAACTACTGCTCGGCCCAACATTCTTCTCGCATATAGGGCAAACTTTCATGGAAGGTTTCCTCTGTTACCACGTAACATAATTAGCCTTAATGACTGACGCAGTTAACCACTGCTAGTCATTAAGGGTATTTGGTGACATTTTTGTGAAACTCGTGGTTACATAGTGAATTTGAACAGTTTCATGGGTGGTGAATAAATAAATTATTCAAGGGTACATGGTGAAAAAACCGTAAAACTCTCCTCCCCTCCTATGCCTTCATTTCCCCAACCTCTTATTCAAATAAGGGAACTTGTTTTCGTCCATTTCCCCTCCTTTTCTCTCCATTTACACTTATCTCCAAACAAAATGTAAAAATAAACCATCCATAGATGAGACAATGCTTAATGCTTCTTCAAGAAGGAGGTAAGAAATTCAGAGTTCAGCCAATTTACAAAAAACTATTATTAGTGGAATGCGGAAATGCAAGAAGATTTGGCATTAAAGAATAATATTTCCATTGAATTCGACGTACACCTTTAGATACAACTGTACATACAAACCTGAAAAGATTTCCTATCTGTATTACCACACCAAAGAATGGGAGGAAGATAATCACAACTTCTCTCTCCATGCTACATCGAACACAAATATCCTACTCCTATCAAAAAATAAAAAATTTCGACGACTATTGGGGCAGTCCTAGAAATCAAAACATCCAGGGTCCATACAATCATTGATGATGACGAGAAGCCTAAATCTATGTATATCAAATACTGATAGTAAATTTACAACTAGGGAAATGGATGTTGCACTACTTTAGAAGAAAAATGGTACAAGAGATAGATAACCTTTATGTGTGAATGATGAATTTACACTGGGTTAGTTTGAGCTCATTAGGTGAAGCAGACAAGCGCTGGAGATACTTATCATCTCAGCCTCACTCCTGTAGAAACTGAAAATCTGGATTCTCAAGTAACAGAGGTGGTGGCTTCACACCGGCAAAGTCTCTCTCATCCAGAGAAGGAGATAGGTCATCAACAGGAAGGGGTATGCTGCAGTTAAAACATATTATCAAAAGTTTAGAATCGGCTATTGAAGGAAGAAAAGTGATTTCTGTGTGTTCTCTCTTTTTACCTGGAATTATCATGCAATGAACAGGCTTTATCACTGTCCATTTCACCCTCATTTTCTCCAGGCATTGATGTCTTCATACTTAAAATGACCTGTAAAAATCCAAAGCAGAATCGTGCCTTACACAGTTACACTAAAGGACAAGTAACGATAGAATATCATGACTATAACAGCTTATGGGCTTACATCTGGAGAAACACTAGTAGTGTTATAGTCATCATCCCAGTATGTTGTACATATTTTATATAGCTGCTTAACACTCAATAGCTGAAAATAAATACAATACCAAAGTTAGTAAAATTTGAATACAGGTAGAAATTATAGTCAAGTTTTCCATCATATCTTGAATTTTTATGTGATATCTCAAATGTTCAGAAAAGACAAATTATATTGATGAAGACTGCCCTCTATAGACATCCATAGCATAACAAAGAAAGAAAAATAAAGTTTTACATTTACTCTGTGCAGCCTAAATGGATGAAAGTTGAGTGAGATGATTATTTTCTTTTAACTTGGAATTTACGTAGCTCTAAACAAAGAGATTGATCTATTATGGGGTACTGAGTACTTTGTTCCAATTTCATTACCAATCCCTGGCTCGTGCATTAAATTGCACCCATTAAAGCTAATTTCCTCACCTAGGCAAAATGCTAAATTAATAACGGGATTTTACATTAGTTAAAAAATATGATTCCAGTTTAGAGCATCGGGTTTCTGTTTCCATTTGCAATCTACACCTACAGTGGAGAAGAAAGAAACTTACAGGACAGAGATCGCTTGTAAGATCTTCAAAGGTGATCCTCCCCTTGTGGTTTATAACCTGTTGATGAAAATATAAAAATCAGGTCATAATTCCAATTTTATAAGATTACAAGATCCCCTTTCATTGAGTTAAGCAGCAAGCATACCAATGAAACAAGAAGGCCAACCATACGGAATTTTTTACAAGCCAAATAATGGGAAACAGATGTTGACATAATTTATGTAACAATAAGAGATTGATAGGCCTTGTAGAAGCTTGTAAAATGAATTTATGTTGCAACATAAAATCTTGATGGACCAAAAAGTGAAAACATACAATATGACAGTTTGAACACTGTCATGAAGAGTATCATAAATGCATAGACAGAATGTTTGCCAAGTTCATTCAAACAAGATGGCCAATTGCTTGATGCCCAGTTTTTAGTTATTGCACTTTGTAAAGATTGTTCTTGTTATTATTGACAGCAGTATGAGGGTATATCAGAATTTACAGCACTCAGGCCTTCTCATAAGAAATAACTTGATGGAAAGAGTTGGTGAGGTAGCCAATCGCCAAGCCCTAACGAAGATATTGAAGAACAGATAAAGATGAAGGGCCTAAATTGATTTTATAAAAAAAAAATGAAAGACCTATACTTCCGCTGATCCCTTAGGAAGCAACAATCTAATAATTATCTCTTTCTAATTCTTAATATTGGGAAATTTAAGTATTACTTCCTTCGTTACTATATATTTGATTCATTTCTCTTTTAAAGGTTAAAAATTATAAAAAAGAAACTTTTTTAGAATCGTTTCAATGTGGGTATCCAAATAAAAAAATTCATAACTTACACTAGTGTGTATTTAATGATATAATCGATCAAACATACGCATTGGATATAGCACACAATGCAAGTGAGTAGAATGAAAAGCATATATATTTTTAAAATTCTTTTAAAAGTAAAAGATAAAATATGAAAACAATGAGATAAAATAAGAAATATCTACATGAAATATTAAAAATTCACTTACAAAAAGACAGATATTAAAAACAATGAGATTATATTTATATAAAATCAAAAATCAAACACTTAAGTTCAATCATAAGAAATTTATATGTAGCGCAAAATAAAAAGTATCAAACACCAAAAACAAAAGGAAAAAAATGAACCATCAAACACTGTCATTTGTGTTGTGACATTCAGTGCTAGAAACAATACTTAATAGAAGCAACTATCACTCTAACTGCACTTTATTTTACATGCCCCCACTCTACAAGAATTATATAAGCAACTTCATATGACTAGGATACACGGGTGTATTAGAGGTCTTTTATCTTATAGTTAATAGCAGTACTATCTTAATGGCAAATGTTATGTTCTATATTTTACATCATTGTAGGTTTGATTGTGATTTTTTGATGTAATTGTACTGAGTTATTGTAATTTGATGTAATTTGTTATCGTCAATTTATTCACATGTTTATTATGTAATGGACGTGGTAATGAATTTGTGACTATTGTTTGAGTTGCAGTGTTTAGTTTGAATATAAATCTTTACATTCTTGATGTAATTCTAAATAATTTTCTAATACTGTTTATTCAATGTGAATTATGCAATGGTTATCTCATACACCTCCTCTCTCTCCTACCTTATTTACAAGTATAGGCCATAACACTATCATTAAATTAGAGATAAGGTTGAATTAGTAACAGTGTTCAAATAAACGAGAAGCTATTTAAATGAACTCCATACTTCCTCCGTTTTTTTTTATAAGTGTAACATGTAAGGGAAGTACAATCTTATTAAAGAGGAGAGAGATAGAGAGAGATAAAGAAGTAGTCCCATGTGATGAGGGGGGGGGAGAGAGAGAGAGAGAGAGAGAGAGAGAGAGAGAGAGAGAGAGAGAGAGACCATTTCCAAAAGTAGTGATGTTGTACTTATTATGCAACTTCCAAAAAAGGGAAACGTCGCACTTATTAAAGAACCGGAGGAAGTATAAGAGATTATCAATGAAGTATATGGTAAGACCAAATCACATTAGTACGAGCTCAGATCCTTCTAAACACAGCTGACTAATGGTTATATTATCAATTAAGTGTTTAAAGAAAGATACTGACAAGAGTATGACTGTCATGTCAACTGATATTGCAATGTATATCCCAAATCAACTCATCCTAATCAAATTAATCTTGCCAAGTATAATATTAATCAAAGGGTAAAGTATGGGAAATGCTGGTTGAATTGATTTAAGCCCTTGTGCAAATATAAGTTTATCATTGGTTAAGAGATCACTCACAATAGATAGTCAATAGAACCATTGTATATTCACAAGTTCACACCTTCACACGACAATGAGTCAATTGAAAGGTAAAACTGTGGGAAAAAAACAGCATATAGACTTACCAGAAATCCAACAGCTTGCCTTATGTGCTTAAGTTCATCCCATGATGATCCTGTACACTGCAATTGACAAAGATTAACATAATTTTACAGTTCCAATAAATTGATATTGGCAGCAGTAGATGATTCCTGGCTTCCTGTCTACTTAAATTATAGGGTTTTCTTTGAAAATGAGTAGAGCATGGAGACATAACATTCCAAAGATTTCTATCATGGGACAGTCTATATGATTATATCCAGAAGATCTAACACTGAATA